TTTTTTATTATTTTTACCATTAAAATTAATGATTTTCATCCCTTTTAATGACATACTGACAAAAATCTTTAATGCGTAGCGAATGTATAACTTTTAGAGTTTGTACGCATGAATGTCCTACAAGAAAATGAGGGTTTTTGTGGCTTGAGTATAAAGCGAGTGCTTTATCAAAAATCAGTAGATCCTCTGCATTTTTGCTCATCTTTCTAGGGTCTCTGAACATCTCCCTTCTTTAATTCCTCCCTTTGTTCCCAAGAATTTTCTAGGGTGGTTGCTGTTTTTTCCTATAAAATTTTGGATTTTTTTTTTTTGTTCTTCTTCCTCCCTTTGCCCCTGGAGAGATGAAAAATTTCTCTGGGATTATAGGCTGCTATTATTGATTTCTTCTAAATTTATTTTCTTTACACAAAGGCTGATAACTTGTTTTCTTTCCCAGAAAATTTAGGCAATTTTCTTTTTGGGTTATCCTTCTTTTTCTCTTTCCTTTGAGATTTTAAAACCTTCCTCATGGGCTGCCACTATTAATATCTTCAAAATTTGTAATTTTTCTTTGCAAAGGTTGAAACTTTAGCGATAGCCACACACTGCGTAGCTACTCAATATATATCTGGGGACTTTGCTCCATTTTAGTGAATATGTGGTGAATATGTGGGTCATTTTTTCAAAAAAATAAAGTAAAAAAATTGATTCTCCGGTGAAGTTACCGATTGATTGGCTCTAATGATGAAGTAAGAAGATGGTGAGAGGAAAAATTGTGATGAAAAGGATCGCGAATGCAGAAAACAGACTAGTGATCTTCTCCAAGCGTCGTCTGTTCCCTGTGATGTTGATGTTGTAGTTATCATCCTCTCACAAAAAGGAAGACTTTATGAGTTCTCAAGCTCCGTGTATGTTATTTTTAATTATACTAAACAAAGTTCTTCAATTGATTATTTCTTTTTATTATAGATGTCATTCGTTTAACAGATTTTGCAAATTTAGTCCATAAATTTTACAGATATGCTTATCATGTGGATCTGTACTTCCTCGGTTCCATTAGGATATCTTATATTTGCATTGATTTTTTTTCCCTATTTGTCTTTGAGTTCATTTCTTTGGATGAAATATATCAAGAATTACTCTCATGATATGATTTGCTGCAGGAACAAATCCATTCGGGTGCATTTTGCCTTTCTCAAACTTGTCTATTAGGGTTTCCAAAAGCTTTGCTACTAGGAACTAGAAACTGTAATTATAGTTTTTAGCCTGCCACCATTTCAATTTACATATTAATTATTAGATATTAATTCTTAGGCTAGTTTTGGCCTTTTGAAAAAGGGCATTGATATAGCATTGACACATATGCTTTCTAGTCTAATACATTCTAGAATATGTTTATTAAAAAATTATTATTTTTTAATTTGAAATTAAGGGTGGAACAACTTAAATATGTAGTTATGCATATAGCTATGCATTGAGAGAACCAGTTGAACTGGCTGCACCTATATTATATTTTAATGATTGAATTGGCTAGGTGTTGACGTCTATGTCAAAACAAACAGTGTCCGAATCATTAGTACATCCTCCAGTTTGACACACTCATTGACACCTACTAGTTCAACTATTAAATTCTACAATTTTAAGTTTTTCCATCTTTAATTCCAATTTGAAAAATAATAATTTTTTAAGGATTATGTTGTATGGTATATTGAATCAGAGAGTATTGGTATCAACATCCTTTCTTTTTATATATATAGTGTGTGATATCACATTATTCACATGTGTTGTAGGAATTGTGTTAAACCCTTTAATCTTTATTATAAAAGTTTCAGATTGCATAAAGTAGTTATGAGATCATTAATTTCTGGTAGGATAATAACCTATAGACATGAGTCTATGAATTTCATTGGTGCATGACTAATGAAAATAAATGTAGCTCGTGCGTTTGAAGGAATCTGTGAATGTTTGTCTTTATAAGGCATAGAAATCTTCCTTACTCTCTTAGCTGCATGCTCTTGGACTTATTAGAATTTTCATTCTTTATAGTCAATTTGTCATCGCTAACCATTTGCTTTTCAATTGTTGGTGTAAATATTTATATTTTTCTCTTTTCTATTATATATTTATGAGTTGGAATTCAATTACATACACAACTTTTACAAAAAAAAACATTCATCTTTTCATTATGAATAGTTGCGATCTATTCATCTTTTTATCAAAATTTTAAAATATAATTGTAAAAAGTTGTCTTAAGTCTCTACCATTTATAGGGGAGAAACAAATGGTCAAAGATTTTGTGTAACTAATGTGTGTAAGAGTTATATGAAATTGGATCCTAACTCTATTATATAATCTTTATTTTGATTGTTTAATTCATACATGTGACCAAATCATGTGTTTAGACAAGTGGTGAAAGGCATGGGAATGATATAATCACTCAATAATACTATAAGTAGGAAAGAGAAAATTTTACTTAAAAAACAAAAATCTAATACATTAGACATTTTGACTCCCTTAAGCACATATCATTGTTTGTGGTGCATCTGTTAATTGGGTGGTAAATTAAAGAACAATCTTACCAATGTGCGTTTAGAGTTAGTTAAAAGGACAAATAAATAAACTGATTTTCCTTTACTAGAATCAAATTAAATGCCTGTAATCCGTTATTCTGTGAACTTGGATGCATCTTCATTCTTTCCATTCATATTTTAGGCTTAGATGGTGGGTTGAGACAAGCATGTAATGTTGTGTGTTCTCCTAACATCACTGGTGTTCTTTTCCACAACCTTGTGCTAAGGAAATTTGAAGGAAACGTTGAAGTCCTTGCTGAATTAGCTGAGCTCTTAGTCTTAAATGTTAGCTGAACTTTGAGTTTATATGATTCTATATGTAGACGGCTTGTGGTTGTAAGTTCAAGGGTGGAGTACCCGTTGTACTTCTGGTAATGATATTTTTGATTCATCTAAAAAGGTATGTAATGTTTGTGATTCCGCTCTTCAGTAACTAGGGATGGTCTGGAACTTTTGCATTTTTGATTGCTTGCGCACTTGTTAATTAATGAAATTGTTTGCAACTTGTTAATTATTTAATTAATGAAATTGTTCGCTGATAGGATATATCTGCTTGCCTTTCAGTTCTATTCATTCATTCCTATGAAACTGGTAACATGAATTGATGACAATATTTTTTTGTGAAATGCTTCAGCGAGGAAAACGCTATTGAACCAATACTCTATACAAAAGAAATTCCAACTTGCATGCCTGAAATGGAACAACACATGCAGGTTAGACATCCATCTTTCATTGCACAGATTAATTTTCCGCGAATATTTTTCCGAGAAAAGGGCAGCTCAAAATTTATTGCTTTTCATAGAAAACAGAAACAGTTATAGTTAAGAAAGTATATCCTAAGGTTTGGTGTTTGAATGGAGGATACTTACACAATCTGAGTTAAGCATAGATGATGCATACTTAATTTTTAGTGGATTAGATTTGGAATAAAATTAACTTGGTTGCTAGTCTGCGCTGCTCTTATTGATTTTATCATGGTTTTGGACTCTAAATCCATGATTTAGGAAGTGACGACTGGAGAGTTTCAAAGCTCCGACTAGTGCTTATTCTAGTCTCCTCCAAACAAGTTACCGAGGGGGCAGTCCAAAATATGGTTATAATACTTCATCAATTTGGGCACATCTTTCCAAGCTTTAATCAAATCCATGCAATATTTTTTAACTAGTTTTGTGGCTTGATTCTGTGATTCATAGGATTGGATTTCTCTATATATAATCTACATTACATCTTCATTGCTATCATCAAATAGCTCACTTCGTGAGTTATAATAAATTACTATCCTACGGTTGTTAATAATACCTACGGTTTCCTCAAAAAAATTTCAAAAACAGCAAATAAGTTTAAGAAGATTGAGTTCTTGGAAGTTTCTAAAAGGTTCAATATTGATTTAATGCTTGTGTCATGTTACTTCTCCTGATCATCCAGGTGAAAGGATTTCTAAAGTTTGAAATTTTGATGTCATACAGGAAGCTGTTGGGTCAAAGAATGGGCTCATGTTCTTTTGAGGAACTTCAAGGGATTGGTAGCCAGCTAGAACAAAACTTGAAAAACATCAGGGCAACAAAGGTTTGCAACCGTTAGATTTGCCCTTAGGCTAAAAGTAGTTACATTAATGAGTCAATACATGATTACAAGACTTCTGCTTTCGAAGTAAAATTAGCATTTGAGTTACAATCAAAAGAGCTTTTGGGGCATATTTATAGAGTATTTGCGCCGTCGTTGGACCCTTATAGACATACAACAGCCACATTTCCTCAGACTCGCCTCCTCCTTAGGTTATTCCCATAGATAGAGCTGCAGCCCGCATTACTTTACCAATTTAAGTGGTCCAGGATCTCCTCCATGATGTGGGATTGGAGTCTCTAATATACCCTGTACTAGATTCTTCATTGTGCCATCTACCTACATGTAAGGGATTTTGACTTGACGTTCCTCATATCATTAATCCAAGTTTCTCCAGGGTACTAGATTCTTCGTTGTGCCCTGCATCTACCTATATACAATTCCTATACAATACTCTAAATTGTGTTTGCTTGCATTTTATGTCTTATAGGCCTAGTTGTGTAAGAAGCAATTAAAGGAATTAAAGGCAAAGGTAAGAATAACTCCCTCCATTGTGTTAAACATTTATTACTTCCTCAATCTTCTAGTTTATATTTCTCAATGGTGTGCCTCCTGTTTGTTTTCTTGATAGCACATTTTTCATTTTCCTTTTTTTTTTTT